AAACATGTCTGAGACGCAGAAAGACCAGATTTCTAAAAAAAATAGATGGATGAATGCGTTAAATTTAGAAAAATAAAACGTTCCATGATGTAAGGCAGTGTGTTTGTCCTACCTCCCCTGTTAGCAGCGTCCACAGCTTCAGCCGACAGACCGAACTGATTCATCAGCGGGCCGAGTTGCCCCGATGCCAAAGCGCTGCTGAACATGCTCATGGACTGAAGTCAGACAGAAACCAGAGTCAGAACCAAACCAAACAGATGAAGAACCGTCCATGTCCTGGTCTGGTTCTACCTGCTGGAACTGCGGCGAGTTCAGGGTGTTCTGGATCTCCTCGGCTCTGCAGCAAGCTCTCTCCGCTGGGGAGGAAGGGGAGGAGCCTCTGCTGGACTTCAGGGTTGGTCAGGATGGGAGCCATCATCTCCGGGGTGCAAACGCTCGCCAGATCCACTGCAGGAGACAAACCACACCGTTAGCTGGAGCGCCATCGGTCTCCCTGCAGCAGCAGCAGAGCGAACCCGACGACCCGCTGACCTGCAGATCCCTGCGGCGCTGCAGCAGCTGCAGGAACGTTCATGTTGGCCAGGATGCTCTGCAGGTCGCTGAGCTGGATGGGCTGGTGAGGAGTAGGACTACCAACGGAGGCCGGCGTCACAGGGGCCTGAGCTGGAGCTGCAAACGGGGAAAAAACAGTAGAGTTCAGGACAGACAGTCGATTTAAAACAGAAAACACGGCAAATGTTGCAGTTTTGTTCCCAAGTGAACCGAGTCTACTGGACTTTCACGTGAAAACAACTTAAATTTTAAATCAATCCATAGATGACGGCATCCATTAATTTGGTAAACAGAGAGATACACTGGGGTCGTAAACAGTTCACACAGAAGTCAGATTAATTAGTTCGACGATGTAAATAATCAAAATTGAGCATCGAGACCTGCAGTGTGAGACAACCTAAGGCGGTTGTACCTGGAGTAGTGGGGGCAGCAGCAGCAGTCGTGGCAGGAGCGGAGGCGGCAGGAGGCGTAGGCGTGGCCGGTGCCTGGGTGGAGCTCAGTCTGGGGGCTGCAGCAGATGAAGAAGAGGTGGCCGTGGCTGCTTGGCTTCTAGAGCTGCGGTTAGCATGGAGACCGAGCGTTAGCGTCACGCTAGAGGAGGAAGTCGTAACGATGCAGAGGTGAGGTCTAACCTGGATGAGGAGCTGCTGGCGGGCGGGCCGCCGCTGCCTAGCAGATTCGCCAGTCCAGGTCCGGCTAGCGCTCCCAGGCCTCCTTACACAAACCAGAACAAATCTATAAAAGCTGCTCTGTTGAAGCGTTCAGGCTTTACATCAGGCCTGGACAATATATCACAATCATCATAGCAACATCGACTTCAGCAGGAATTCACTTCCCCAGCTGGTGAAGCCAAAACTAATAAAACATGGTGATGAAGGAAAAGAAATCAGAAAAAAGTGACTCCGTTAGGATGTTCAGCAAGTGACGGGGGGAAAAAAAAGTTTTTATTGTAATTTTGTGACATCGATTTCCTTACGGCTGAAAAACCACCGCATCCAAGCGTAAAAACTTTTCATCCAAAAAACTTTTTGTTTATATTAAGCAAATGTATTTTCTTAATTTCACTTTGCGCAATTCTATGGCTAGCAGAGATGCAGCTGGTGAAACCCGAAGCGTTACTCAGAGTGCCTCACCCAGTCCACCGAGCCCCGTCGGACCGATCAGCTGCATCAGCTGGTTGTGGCTCATGTTCCCCAGCAGGTTCTGCAGGCCGCCCTCTCCGCCCAGCGCCGACAGCTCGTGGCCGCTGCCGCCTCCGCTGCCCGGAGCGCCAGGAATCGGAGGGTTGTTCAGGAACTCGTTCACCTTACGGCAGAACTCCTCATCTTTGTCCGTTTTGGGCTCCTGAGTTGACAGTTTGAAATGTTAGTCGTCTCTTATATGCACTTAGATTTCCATCCAACAAATTAGCAGCGTCTCCCCACCTGCATCCAGAAGAAGAGCCTTTTGGAGCCAGCCTTGAACTTCAGGACATAGACGCGTCCCGTGGTGCACTGGTTCACTCTCTTAAACTCACAGTCGTCAGGGAAGATGATCAGGTCCTGCAGGACATTTCAGTTCTGGTTTAGTTCTCCTGGAAAATAAGCCTCGAACTCAAGCCCCCCAAAAAACTCAACCCAAAAATTATTCATAATTTACATTAGTCTGTTGAGTTTTTGCAGAAAATCACCCAGCATTTTTCTTGCTATGAGTTTATTCTAAATTTTCTGCAAAAACAAAACGGTCAAAAACATTGAGTTCATGTGATGTTAACTCCCGCCTGCAGGTGGCAGTATTTCTTCTACTTCACTGCTGCTTCTGCCTTAACACATTACAAATAGATATGGTGAGTAACAATGAAACCACATTTAAATAAATTAATTGCAAAAATATTGTATTTTAAGTCCTTGTAAATGTTCTTAAAGCAGCACCAATTTTGTTTGCAAAAATAAAAATATATATTTTTTAAATCACAAAAAGCCAGAGGTCAGATATAGTTTAATAACTTTATTATTTATATCAGCCACTTCATTTTTTGGCAGAAATTCAGGTAAAAAAAATAACTATAATGCCTGATTTTTTTTTCTAATGCATAGAGTTTACTGCAAATTTTACACAGAAATTGTCAAAAAGTTTGGGTTTAAGAAATGCTAACTCCAACCTGCAGGTGGCAGTATTTCTTACACTGCTGCCTCAACTTTACTTCATGTCACGTTATAAACATAAAAAAAAAACAACATTTAAATAAGGAAATTTATCTCAAATATTGCTCAGGTCCTTGCAAATATTCCTAGAGTACCACCACAATCAGGAATTTTGATTGCAAAAAAATAAATAAATAAAAATCATTAAATCCTGGGACAGTTTTCTGTGTTATGTTTCTAAAACAAGAATCAAAGCCTGACTGTTTGCCAACTAACACCAAAACGCATCAAAACATCTCCAGTAACGAGAAGGTAAGGAAATTATTTTGGTTTAATTTAGTTTCAGATTATCGTAAAATCATTTCCAATCACATCATGAAAGTAATAAACATTTCAGATTTCACTGAATGTGTGTTTTAAATTATTGGCTTAATTTAAAGATAAAATCCTCACATCATCAACGTTCCCGGTGGTTCTGTCCTTCCAGCAGAAATGGATCAGGGAGTCATCGGACTGCTGGATGTACACCAAGCCCTTGCGTTTGTCGGGTGTAACCGTGTTCCCCTTCAGGCTCATTTTACCAGCACGAAACTCCACTAGGTATTTGCTGGAGCTTCCCCTGGAGCCGCTGACCAGACTCGGAAACAGAGCACCTGACGACATCTTCACTCCCAAACTGAGGGAAAAAACACAGCAACAGCATGTCAGATTTCTGAGGTCATCTCATTTACAGAACCAGCTGCCATCTTGGTCCAAACTGCTGACTGTGCAGTTTTTAAATGTTCAAAAATAAATAAATAAAAAGACAAAAAGTTTTAAATTATTCATTCATATTCCAGTTAAATAATTATGATTTTATTAGAGATCAAAAATGTTGTAATCACTTCTGTCCATAATTAAGCACCACCTCCTCGTTATCTACCAAATCCTACTAAAATCTGTTAATTTTCCCCTATTCATCACAACTTATAGTCAATGACGTCAGCTTGGTGTTTGGTTAGACCTTTTGTTAATTTGTTAAACTTAAATTGGAAATTTTTTGTTTAGTTTTTTTACAGCTGGATCATTTGGTTTTATTTGCGGGCCGCCATATTGGATTCTACGGCCGGGGTTGTTGATAAAACCCAGATTTCAGGGAATGACCCAGTTGAAGTTGTTTTTCAGTGCAATAAGGTCCTAACTGAAAGTAACTATTCGACGCACGTTTTCTGCGAGGAAAAATATTGCTTACCTTAAACACACGTCCTTGACTGAAAAAAAAATACTTTTTAGTCCTGAACAACTTTCTAAGCCTACAGATAAAGAACAATGCTGTTAAAGTTAGCTTTCCAGAGCTCGCTATCAAATGTTTTCTGTTTTATCTTCTGACTAACACCTGATGATTTGATTTAGTTAATGTCTTCCTTTAACTTGACTAAATAACATTTTAACAGTTAAGCCACGAAGTTGTCGTTAGCTGTGTGTAGTTCTGGTTGTCGATGCTAACGTTAGCCCATGACAAGGCTAAACAGATGAACGACTAAAGGCCGGAGTCTTGCAGAATAACTACCTTAAGTTGTTTAACGAAATAAACACACACATAAGACTCCTTTAAAAACAACAAACTTAGCATTTTAAAAACTTACTTTTAAATACTTGCGGCTAAATCTTGAAATATCTCAGAAGTTTTCTCTCCGCCGCGTCTGACTGTGACGCCACTTGCGTAGAATGAGTGAACTTCCTGTTCATCGCGAACGCGCCTGCTGTGAGTGGATGCGCACGCCTTTCAGAGTTTTATGGCAAGCCTCACCATCAATAATAATACAATTAAATTTCAAAAACACGTCATCGATTCAAAAGGGAAATTAAATGCTGTAATTTATATTATTCAAAGTTTTTCACATATTTAAATGTACTTAGATATATAAGTATGGCAAATTTTATCATAATTTACATTAACCAGTCACTCTAATGAGTAAATAATGTGCTTTACGTACAGGTCAAAACACGGCTAATGCCTAATAATACAACTGTTATGAACAAACTGTTATTATATGTGAATGCAAAATTTTTAATATATTGAGCAGATTTATTCTCACAGAAAGTAAGCTTTTCTTACCTCAGTACATTCTTTTATAGTTCATTTATCGTTTTGTTTTGGTCTTTTTTACATCTTGGATTTATGTTAATGTGCACTTATATTCATAAAGTTGAATAAATAACAAGGGAATACACAAAAAAGTCTAATTGACTTGAAATGTCATAACTTCGGTTTTACGACTTATTGTTGACGCTAACGGCTTACCATATTGTGGGAGGAGTTTTCCTGGGGATAGCTGTCACGGACTGACAGGTCGCTCCCACCCGGTGTAGCCGTTAGCTCGGCGGTACTTTCTGCTGCTGCCTTCTCTTGGAATGCTTTAGCGCCAGAGAGCGAAGCGAAAACTGAGATGCGAGAACAATAAAACTCCAAGTTGGCTTCGTTCAAAAAGGAAAACAACAACAGCCAAACCACTCCGGTTGGAGAGAAAGAGGTAGGAAACGCACAGAGTTAGCCAAGCGGGGCTAACATTAGCCAGCTTTGCTGCCCTTGGATTAGTTAGCGAGCAAAGTGCTAAATGCAGGCAAGGATATGGACGAGCTGAACACCCCGGTTAACAAACATGGATGCTGGTTGCTTTCGTTTGATGCGGTGGTTGGAGATTATCCGCTTTAACCGCAGTTTGATCCCTGAACCAACCTGTTTTTGGTTCGCTCCTCAAATATTTGAGTTATAACTACATTTCGGACTATCCCTGCTTTCAGTCTGACAGGTTTAGTTCTTGCAGTAACCTGCAGTAGTTGGGAGATAAATCTGGATTTATGCTTTTGATGTCTCAGCTGACGTCAGTGTTTGAAACATTAGGAGAGACAGGTGCATTTAAGCTGATGGATAAATATGGTTTTAATGTTTATGTTTTGCCTTTTCAGCTGTTACAGAGCAGCAGGAAACGTCACTGGCTTTGTTTTGTTTGAATTCATGATCGAAATAATTCACGAATATAAAAAAACCTTTTTAAAGCCGATTATTCATCTAGATCTGCAGGTATTTTCCTATCTTTGAAAGATTTCACTATCCAGGATATTCAGATTTCCTATAAATTACTCAGTTATATGTAATATACACATTATTCCCTCAGTAGCTGTCACTGAAAATGCACCAATCAGTCGGAAATGGGAATAAGTGACAAATAAAATGCACCAAAACAAAATCCCATCATATAGAAGCTATAAATACAACCCACATCATGCTCTCTTTGATGAGTGTAGGCAAGGGTGATGTTGTCTTGTAATCCCTTTATTTTCTATTTGATTATATCAAGGAACCTTTTGTAAATCTTTTCTGCAGTTCTTGTCGTTAAAATTTCCCTGTATGTGGGGTTTAAACCACTTTTTTAACATTCAGTTTCAGTTTTAAAAGGAACAAGAGCATGTGAGTAAATAACAGAAGTGTTGACATTTTGTTTTTTAGATTTTATTGTTTCTCTTTCCAGATTATTTATTGTCCAACCACACTCAGGGTTTTTTTTAATGCAGTGAAGCTAAACAGCTGGTTTCTTTCAGGGCAGCAGATAACTATTATTTGAGTTATCAAACATTCTGACGATTAATCAAATAAAAAACCTGACACTTTTTGATTATTTTTGATGTAACTACATAAGTCTTAGAAATACATTAAAATTTCAAATGAACAAATGAGTGAATTAATTTTTTAAATGACAAAATAATCCTTTTATCATTTAGGGTACGCTTGATTATCAACATTTTCTGCATTGTTACCTTAACTAATAGATGCAGTGTAGGCTGATCTGTTACTTTTTTTCATTAGTTGATTAAAAGTTGGAAACCAATAAGTGCTTCATCAGATATTTATTTACAGAAATAGAACCAGGTGAGTTCTGGGTAGAACATGTTTACAGACATTGGGGGTTTTTTAATCTTAAATGCAAAATGTAAATATTTTTGTACAGTTTTGGCTTAATTAATACTGTGACTGTATTGTTCTTTTAGCAAATGGTTGTTTTTAGAGTTTCTGTACTTATATTAATGATTATTTGAATACTAACTTAGCACATGATTGTTAGGATAACTGATTAATCATAATCAATCTGATTAATCGTTTCAGCCCTAGTTCCTTTTAGATATTTTAAAGTCTAAAATGAATGTGCAATTATGTTTCTTTAGTTGTAACTTGTCATTTATTAGAAAAAAGTAAAAATCATGTGTACAGATTTGGCCTCAGCTGGTTAGAAAAGTTTCATATCCCAGTAGGATGTGAAGGAAGTGTCATGAAATCTGAAAGTTAAAGCCAATCAGTGCATGTGATGCTGCAGTCACATGCAGCTGACATGAACTTGGGCGAAGTTCAACAACAGCTGCGACTTCCGACTGTCAGCAACAAAAACCCAAACTTTAAATAGCAAAAGATGAATTAAAAGACAGAAAGAGACGAAGAGCAGCTCTAAATACAAGTTACTTTTAGATTCACAGCCATTTATAAAACAAAACTGCACAAATATTGGTAATGCAAAGAATAAGGAGCAATAAAGTGATCTCACAACAATTAATGGCACAAACCTAAAAGAAGCAAAATAGTATAAAATTTATACCATTAGACTCCAATAAGTAAAAAGACTGACATAGAATCATAAAACTCTGAGCTTATCTCAACATGGATCTGAAAATGAATTTAATAAAATTCCCCTGCAGTCATTATGGATAATAGGAAAAGAAAGTAAATCTAGATGCAGTCGTTCCAGGTTGCTTTAGTCCAGATTATTCCTCCTTTGTGCCACGCTGTTAACGTGTCTGCATCCATTAAGAAAACCAAGGAGTGAATGCTGACAGAGTGCCGATTCACCATCAGCTAATGAATTGGACTGGCCGTTTCAGCCAGCGGAGGGTGAATCTCTGTGTCAAACATGAAGCTAATGTTTTGCTTTGCTAGAATTTTAAATTAAATTAGTTTTGCTTCAAATGTCATCAACAGTTTACCTAAATAATGACTGATGCAGTGTTGGATGGCTAAATTTGTGCCGTTCTTAAATTGTTGGTCACACAAAATTAACTCAAAAGCCACAAATGGTCCCCGGGCCGCACTTTTATTATTGATAATTATTGATAAGCTTTTTGTTTTTAATACCTGAAATGCTATCAAACTAGTGGTGTGACATTTTATCCAGTTTTCACTCCATGTTGTATTTTACTTTTTAGCAATTATAATGCTGAGTGGAAAAACTTGAGACTCCACAACAGCAGGCGGTTGCTAGATAACCAGAGAACGAGTGAGTGGGTTGATTTCACCAGACTGTGAGCGATAAATGACTCAGTCAGGAAAGTAACGATATTGGATATTCAATCAGATGTATTGCCTATTGAATTTGATCACGTGTCTATCATAATGTATATTATTATTGATTTACTATCCAGCACTGCTTCAGACTCATGGATCGCTGCTCATCGCATCATTTTGTAGCAGCGTTTCATTCGTTGTTGCCTCTGAGGAGCCGAACACAAAGTCATTCTGCGTCACCTTCAGTTGGTAGTGAGGTTAGATGAGCTCGAACAGGAACCCGTCTATCTTTTTATCTGTGTCGTTTCTGCATTTCGAAACAGTTTTATGCTGGTGTTCGGTTTGAGCTGCAGTAGAAACGGATCAGTCGGAGCTCAGAGCAGCATTTCGTTTGCTGCGTGTTTACAGCAGCTGTGTTTACTTTATGTCGGTTATAGCAATGAGGGCACTTTGCTGATTCAAACTTTCAATTCTAATGAACATTTAACACTGGAGACATTTTAAACATCCAGGATAAATAAACAAAAACAAGAGAAACAACAAACAAAATGAATTATGAAGTAAATTATGTGAGACCAAAACACTGAAGACTTTTACCATTTAGCTTTTGGTAGGAAGAGAGAAATGATAAATCATGTAAAATGGAATTAATGAGGTAGTTTTATTATTGCAATTAATTGATTTATTGCGACATCATCCCAGACAGAGGAGTTTGTCCATCCCAAATCCAATTAAATTTTAAATATTACTTTAAACAAACTTCAACCTCTTTATTCAGACGTACATGTTTTCCTTACTTCTATAGTTTTGTCTGCCTGTGAAAACAAGTTAAGATATAGAAAGTTGGTGGAAAGTCTCCCGTTGGCCAGCTGAAATGTGATTGGCCACTGTGTGAAGCCTCCTGTGTGAGCGGGTCAGACGCGATCGTTCACACACACCAGAACGGTGTCAGTGTGCCGGTAATACCAGCACTCCTGATGAATTGTCCTCATTGGGTAATCCTGGCTGAGGGAGGGCGGAGAATCGGTGTTACTTCTGGTTAATCTTCAGAAGTAACACAGGAAGTGCATGACGGCCAATACTGACCATATGGCGTCCCGACGGACGCCTCACAGGATGGCTGGTTCTTGTTCAGTCCACATCCGCGGTTCTCTCTGACTCAGTCTGAATACAGATTTGGTTTTTCTTCAGATTTTTCTTATTTATATAAAATTCACATTTCACACATTTTTGGGTCTCAATAGCGTCTAAAATCCAAGACCTTAAAAACAAACAAACTCCCAGCTGTTTCTTTTTGGCAGTAATTAAATGCTTCTTTTATTGTCTGGAAATGAGCCATTTAAAAAAATCCCGCTGTTGCTTAGCAGCTCCAGTGGGACTCCAGAACGTTGGGTCAGCTGGATTTATGCGCCAGACAACGGCTGCTGGAAAAGACAAGTGATTTTTTTGTCGACTTACCATCCAGAAACCACTAGCTGCATTCTTGTTGGTTTTGCAGGAGGCTCCACTTCTGCTTTACAAAGATAATCACAAATAATAATATACAAATGTAGCAATTGATTGACTGTTAACTGAAGGGAACAGACTAAAAAAAAAAGAAACATTTGCTAGAAACAAACACTGAGATCAATAACTAAGTCAAAACTATGCAAGAAAATAAAGACATTTTGTATTTAAGATGAAAAAAGTTACTGTCTATAAACATGATTTACCCAGAACTCCTCATGTGTTAGATTCAAATCGTAAAAGTGTGTTAAGCACCTTTTGCTATCCAACTAATTGGATTCATTATTTATAACTTTTTTTCACATGTATTTTATATCTTTTGGTACAAATAATCAAGTGTTCATTAAAGTAACACTGTTGCTTAGTTTTAGGCAATAATATGTTTATTTTCTTCATCAGAAAAGGAAATTAATAATTTTTTTATTTGCAATATTTCTAATATTGTATTAATAAAGCCTGAGGTGAAAATTATGCAGTTATGTGCTGCTATTCTGTAGCTGTTTACAGCATCCTTCAACATTTTAATATTTTTTAAATTAAATGTCTCCTCCACTGCTTGTTTTTTGTCTATTTAAGGGAGAAGCTGAGTGAGAAGGGAAGAAGAGAGCAGAGCGACCATGGACCACCAGCGGCAGAGGACTCTGTCCACTTCAGGAGAATCGCTCTACGTTGTCCTCGGAGTCGACAAGAACGCCACAACAGAGGACATCAAGAAATGTTACAGGTGTGCAATAATGTCGACGCACAGGGGAAGGAAATCCCTGTTGCTGTGATGTTTTCTTCCACTAGAGGGAGGCAGAGAGCTGTAAGGGGTTTTCTAAAGCACAAACTGCAATCATCCAGCCTTTTGTCCCATCAATACGAGACTACAGGAGGTATTTCAGAAGCAAACAGGAGAATGTTACACATGTGAAGTGGTGCAACAAAGAGATCACAGGGATTGTTATTAAATGCAAGACTAAAGGCAGGAGAAGAAAAGACATGTTTGGTACCGATACTGAAGCATCCTGACCCAGTTGGGCCTCCCTCAAATTCTGCCATGAATCAAAAGTGAGACTCTTGTTCCTAGGTCTGGTTAAAATGCCAAACAAATCAAAAGGTGCCAATAGTGGAGGATCCTTTGGTACCAGTTCGTTTGCGTAGAAAATCCGCTTTTTTTTGTGGAACAAAACTCCAAACTCCAGTCCGCCAACAAACCTCGGTTTGGTTTTGGTCGCAGTGAATTCTGGTTTGGTTTGAATGTGTATGTGAAATCCAAGTGTACCGGAGTCTGCTCCAAAAGCAGGAAGTGGACTACAGCGCAGGGCATTCTGGGTGAATACAAGCAAACCAACTCACTAGCCTAGCATTAGCAGGATAAATGACTGATTAAAAAAATTTTTTTTACAACTGCTAAAATGTGATGCTACTCCATTTTGTTTCCATTTTGTGAAGAAGAAAGTTGCGTTCAGTGTCTTCCGAGGTCTTTGTGTCCTTAAGTGGTTCTTGGTGCAGCGCCCCCACAGGCCAGGAGGGGAACAGGTTGGGTTTGTGTCATTAGACTTAGTGCAGCTGCAGCAGCTGAAAATGCAACAAACTTGGTCACCAATCAAACTGATTCTACCAAACCATCAGGTGAGAAAACAGCCTGAATCAGAAATCTGACGTGTTTCTTCGTCTTTTTAACTCGCAGAAAACTGGCGCTGAAGTTTCACCCTGACAAAAACCCGGACAACCCGGACGCAGCTGAAAAGTTTAAAGAAATAAACAACGCTCACTCCATCCTGGTGGATCCCACCAAAAAGAACATCTACGACAAATACGGCTCCCTGGGCCTCTACGTGGCGGAGCAGTTCGGAGAGGAGAACGTCAACACCTACTTCGTTCTGTCCAGCTGGTGGGCCAAGGTGCGTCCCTGTGACCCACTGCAGCTTGAAGTTTGTTTTTTATTGTAGATGAAGAGAACCTAAACACTTTTTTAGCCTCTTTTGCTCTTTTTCCTCCCCATCACAATATCCAGGGCTTGTATGGAGGCTTTGAATCCTTAAAATGGTTTGGAAAGTGCTTGAAAATTCTTGAATTTTTATCAGGTGCTTTCAAGGTTTGGGAAGTGCTTGAAACTCTTTAAAAGTACTTTAAATATTCCTGGCCTTTACAGCTTCCCAAACATTTCCACACACTCCTCCAGTTCTCAATATGAAACTCTCTCTTTCTCTCCTGGGATGTAATAATTTAAATAAATGAAAAGAGAGAGCAATTTTAATTTACAAGAAGCAGGATAATATTCTTATTCAGCAAACCAAAAGCAGTCTTGAGCCTTTTTGTTTGTTTGGAGAGTGAAACTGTGCACAATCTCGAATATTCAAACTGCATAGTTTGTGAGGAACTGCAGTTTAACGCTTGCTTTAAAGCCTACTTTTACAAAGCGTTATGTACAGATATTTAAAGATAATAAAAATAACTTTTTCCCTCGCTGTCCTAAGTTAAATCAAACTAAACTTTTCTTGTAGTTGATTAGTTAGAATTGCAAAACTTATTTCTATTTGCTGAATGTCAGAAAACCGAGCAAGAACAGTTTTTGTAACTTTCTTTGTGCGCTGCTCAAATTAAGCTTTTGAAAGTTATTTATTTTAACATAATTTATTATTTCTAGTAATGACTAATTGATTAATTTGGGGATTTTTTGTGGCTGTAAATACAGCGTTTTGGATTAACATAATTTGTGTCCGTGTGACCTTTGCCCCCCCAGGCTTTGTTCGCCTTCTGTTGCCTGGCGACAGGTTGTTACTGCTGCTGTTGCCTGTGCTGCTGCTGTAACTGTTGCTGTGGTAAATGTAAACCCCGGCCGCCGATGGACCAGGAGCCCGAGTTCTACGTGTCCCCTGAGGACCTGGAGGCCCAGATGACTGCAGACGAGAGAGGTGAGGACCGGGACGCTACGGCAAGCCGTCTGACCATCAACTCTGTTTCCTCTGAACGCCCGTGATCACATTCTGGATGTCTAAGGGTTTATTTTGGCTGCTGTGAATGGAAATTTAAGACATCTGAAGTTAGTTTGTGACTTAAGAGTAATAATTCAAGATATCTTCAGTTACATTTTGACGAGTCAGAATTTGTTTCACAGTATCTCAAATTAAGTCACCGGATTTATATCCGTTTTTACAGCTTCAGATGTCATGTAAAATCAACTATTTGAGCTTTTCTTCATGTTTATAATGTCAGAAACATACCTGGAGTGTTGTTTGATTCTTTAATTTAGTCTCAATGGCAACTATTCAGCTGTGTAAAATGGCTGGGTGGACTTAGCCCCGCCTTTGAGGCGCAGCTCCTCCTCTAAGCTTTCTTTTTTCTTTTCTTCTGTGATTTTTTTGGTTTATCTTTTTGTTTCTTCCTTTCTTTTTATCTTTTTCCGTCTTTCCCTCTTTTCTCCCATTAGTTGCATTTCTGCTCATTTTGTTATCAACACATCCAACATAAACAAGAAAAAACATTTATTTTAAATCGTTGATGTTTTTCTTGTTTCTGTTTTCCTTCTAGACGGCAGCAATCCCATCGTCATGCAGCCGTCATCGGCCACAGAAACCACCCAGCTCACCTCTGATGCGCACCAAAGCTACAAAACCGACTCCTACTAGGCACACACACACACACACACACACACACAACACACACAGCAGAAAGAGGCTGCTCGGGCTGGGAGGTGCATCCACTTTCATTTGTCATTAATATTTATGTGGAACAGCATAAAACACGTCAGCATCGGTGGATTTAGCTGCGCCAGCTTTAACCTCTCACTCGTCTTCCTGGAGCTTTTTGGAGAAACTTTTGCTGCTGTTTCAGTTGCGTTGCTTTGAGCTTTTTGTTCAAATCTTTGTTAAAATGTCACATCTTTGTGGCTTCAAAAATGAAACTGCAGTTGAAATGAATAAATCTGTGGAATGCAGAATAATTTAAAAAACGGACAGGCAAATAATTTGCTAAATCAGCCCTAAAAGTTGCCTAAACCTGCCAAACGTTGACCATGTCTAGTTGCTCAACGCCGTTTTCAAAACGGCATAAATCTGTTTTTATTTGATCACAACAAAGAAACACCACCATAGCATGATGCTGCCATCACCGTGTTTTACTGTGGCAAATATACATTTAACAATTATATTAGTAATAGATTATTCTGACGATTAATCGATTGCTCAGATTTTTATAAAATTAAATTTCTGGACTTTTTTTATTTAAAAACTTGAGTATTTCACAATTTCAAAAATATGTAAAAATTATTCTAATAAACAATTTCATTAAGCTTTTTAAATAACTATGTAAACATTTTAGCATTTTTAATTACAGCTCTTTCTGCTTCACGTAACATCAATACTGTCTAGAGGATCTATTGGCTAATTAACCAATTAGTGATAAAGAAGAAGAATGTGATTAATCAGCCAGGTGAAGCTGAAACTGACACCTGAGGAATTATGGGTAGAAAATATTTACAATGTTTAAAATACACAATGTATTTGTGATTTGTTCAGTTTTAGCTTAATGTGTGTTGCTCTTTCAACTATTGGCCTTTTTTGAGTCTGTATACTCAGGTAACGATTAATCGATTATTACATTAATTAACGACTATTTCAATAATCGATTAATGGTCATTCGTTTGATTAATTACCTCACCCTTTATTATAATTATGATTATCAGCTGTTGTGCCAGTAACACTGAATAGTTTGTAATGATTAATCCATTACTAAATCAGTTGATGATTATTTCAATTATCAACTTATCAATTAATTGTTCTGGCTCTAAAACGCTGGACTTTATTTTTGAGTAAATTATGTTGACAGAATCTTCAATATTTTTAAGCCTTTCTGAACTGCACCGTTTTATTGTCTTCATGCTAACAGAATGTGGCGTTTCAGCAGGATTGTGCTCAGAAAAACAGAAATTTTTGTTTAAATTTTAAATTGGAACTAAATAAAACCCGGTTCTGAAATGATACTTTAGAAATCCAGCGTTGGTTTGCTGAACTGCTCGGATGTTTCTCAGCAGATCGGGATATTTTAACAGAGAAAAGTTTCAGTCTGTGTTTTTATTTGTCTCCACTGTGTGTAAAGATGCAACCCAGCCCTAACAGCTGCGCTCATGCACACACACTCACACACACACACACACACACACACACACACACACACACACACACACACACACACACACACACACGCTCACATCCCTGCCAGTTTTCCCACTTCCTCTCTTTTTCAACCTCATCCTGCAGATGAAAGTAGACGTGAGCTCTCCGTGTTTTTTTAAATTTCAGGTATGAAATTATGGGAAGAATAGGGATGGTAGAAAATACATTTTTTGTTCCAGTAGCTCTAATTATATCAGCCATGATCCATCAGAACAAAATTAGCTGTAAAAATGGAATTGTTCCTTTAAAAAAGAAGTACTTTAATACAGATTAAATATCTAACTTTATGCAATAGTGCTTAACAGTTTTATTTAAAAGCAAAGTATTTTTCTTTGAAGATGGGAAATTATTCCTGCTAATTTGAATAATTACTAATAATTTAATGTCAGTATAATCACCAGCATTACTGTGAATGCCAGATTATTCGTCCTGAATCCACAAAAACGAATAATGGAAACTTCCCAGTTTAGTTCTGGGATTATGTCATTCCCATCAGATTTAAGAACCAGGTGCCATTTTGATTTGGGTTTTCTGTTTTATCACAGCTGATTCTTCCTCTTCTCCATTTCTTTTTCTTCTTCATATGAAGTTTTGTTCAGTGTTGAAAACAGAGGCCACAGAAACTCCTCTGGTTTCAACTGGGATCTTTCTTATTGGAAAATAGCTCTGGAACAGGAAACAAACGCCCCCTGGTGGCCATCGGTGCGAATTTATACACTGATTTTACCCGTTTTTTTTGTTTGTTTTTGTTTTGTGAAATGGTAAAAATTCTGTACATGTTGTGTAAAGTTACTGTAGATTTTACTGTAATTTTTGTTTGTTTTCTTGTCTGCATCTGTATTTGTTTTCTCCTTGTTTTTGTTTTCCTTGTTTATGTGGTTCATGAAGAGACAATACTGATTTCCAAAGTCTTATTTAATGGTGTTTTTGTAGAAAAGCAGTTTACAACAATCGATCTCATGAACCAAGATTTATTTATCCTACATAAAACCTTTAAGCGAACCGAATCTGTTTTATAAAACCGGGCATGTTTATTCACTTTGATTTTATTCTGTAGCCCTGCTACCACAGCTCATCAGGACCAGTATAAATATGAAAACAAAAAATAGGAGGACATTTCTGCAAAAAATATCTGAAATTGAAAAGTCAAAAAAATTGCTATAAAAAAAGGAACATTTTTCAGTTTGAAGTTTAAAATTTGAAACAAAAAATTACATTTTGAGATTAATTGCAGGGATTTAAAAAATCTGGAAATTTCAGTTTGAGAAGTCAAAAATTTGCTGGAATAAATCTCAAATTTTGAGATTAACTTCAAATTTTGTTGGAAAAAAAAGTCAGAAACTATAATCTGAGAAATATGCGATAAAAACTGAAACAGATGTTTTTTTTTTTTTTAATTGTTTTGTTTTTTGGCAGAAATTTTCTCCTTTTCATATCTATAGTGTCCCTAATAGTCCTCCGTACATCGCATCACTTCCTCATCATGTTTTCATGCATATCATGAGAACCTGCTCTGCGAGTGTTTCAGGAGGTCTGCAGGTTTTGGTGCTGTGGAGCGAATCCTGACACCATCATCGTTCAAAACATCGACACAAAACAACCCAGCAGCGTTTTGGTTTAATTTATTCTCTCTGTGGCGTTTGATTCTTAGCCGGTGTATGAAGCGGATGTTTAGTTTTAGTCCTGCTGTATATACGCAGCGCTGCCTGTAGATAGGTGGAGGCTTTTCTGTTTTTAGCATGGACTCGTGTTTTTACCTGTCGGCTGGAGATGTGTGTGTGGAAAATACATGAAGTGTCCGAGATCCTGTTGGAAAATAAACAGCTCTGATGCTTGAATTTCTCACTGAGTGTTTTATTAATGACTTATATAAATGAAATAAAAAAAATCCCAGAAATTTGTCAAAAAAATTCAGCAATTTTCTGAGATCAAAAAGTCAAAAATTTGCTAGAAAATTTTCTGATAAGCTCATAAATTTCCGACAAAAAACTTGTGAATTTCAGTGTGAAAAGTCAAATGTTTACTTTAAAATTTCTGACATTTTCCAGAAAAAAATTGCAAGCACATTTTGACTTTTAAACTTTTTTTATTTTTATTTTGAAACTAAAGATTTGAGTTTTTGGACAGAAATTTACTCCTTTTATTTTCCATCTATGCTGCCGATATTTTCTCTGATGTTTTCATGTCAACACCAGAAAAATTTATTTTTTGCATTAATTTAAAGGTTTTTATTTTTTTAACAGAAAAAACATTTCCATTATTGCAAAATCAGCTCTTTGCTTTGCCAAATAAAATAATAATTCATATTTAGCACCTTTTCGCGGGACATTAAGGGTGTAACAGAAGACGGAGCTCAGCATGGCAGTGTCTTAATCTGTCCACATACCAGCCGTCTCCTCACATGGTGTGTGTGTGTGTGTGTGTGTGTGTGAGAGAGAGAGAGAGGAGCTGAAACCTGACTCCAACACACTCTAGTCCGAACCCCAGTGTGCATCCTGGTTCTGCTGCTGCAGTCCTGAACAGGCTGAGCAGCAAAGCTGAGGAGGAAGAGGAAGACGAACCGGGCCCTGGAAGAGAACCGGACCCTGGAAGAGAACCGGGCTCAGGTAGGAACTGGCCAGTTTTCCCTCTCCATTTGGTTTCATGCTGATGGTTCCGGCCCTCGTTGAACTTTTGCGCCGTCTATTCTGGGCGGCAACACAACTGAGAGTGACCCACTGACCTGCAGGAGCAAAGAGATCAACGTTGAGTTTCACCTTAAGGTGGCGTCCGGCTATTTAAAGTCCAACTGCTTTTGCAAAAGTGCAACAAAACAAGAATAAAAAGTTAAAATGTAAACTCACCTTTTATCTCCTTTTAATATTTTTATCCTGTTGGATTTTTTCCAACCTTTTGTAATAAAAAGATGCTCAAAATAAGTAACTTCTGGCTTTATCAAACCAGAAACACAAATGTAAGGATCACAACCCGGTGTTATGAAAACTAACAGCAATAATGTAGGTTATTTAGCATTATAAGAAAAAAATAGGGTTCAAATTGGATTTTAACCATATGTCACCAGTTCAAACTAAATATCTAACTAGAAATCTAACTATTCAGTTGAAAGTCTAATATTTAACTTGCTAAACAACTACTTAGCTTAGTGCTAAATGTTTAGTTGCTCAACTAAGTATTTAGTTTGTGAGAAAAATATCTCGCTACTGGGCCTATTATGGTAGCTAAAAACTAAATATTTAGCATTAAATTAATTATTTAGTTACCAAGTTATAGTTTCAAACTAAATATTTTGCTACAAAGCTGTATTCTTTGCTTAAAACTAAACATTTAGCTTGCTAGTTAAATATTTAAGTTCAAACTAATTATTTGACTTGCAAACCAAATATTTAGTTAGCAAGCTAAATATTTAAATTGAAGCTTAACATTTAAATTGGAGCTAAATCTTTAGTTGCTAAGTTAAATATATACCAC